ACTAATAAGGCCTCAGTGCAAGTCTATTTATTAATGTATTTTAGTTACTACCAGCTTCTGCCTGCGACTTCGTACGCGCAATCCCGTTTCTCCCATTCCCGTAGGATTTTCACGACTTTTTCCTGTCATAAGAACCTTCTCCTGACGATAACAAACACAACAAAAAAAATCAGCCTAATCGGTCTAGCCGTTCTCAAGTTATGGCATGACAACGGGAAACGGGTTTCATTTTTATAGATATATAGATGTATTGTCGAAATAATAATATCATTGGGGGAGGTCTATGTTATGTTAGTGAACGTCCTATGGCTGATATGATTATGATGATGAAAATATAACTGGTTTTTTAACCATCACCTGTCACCGTTTTTCAAGAGCGTTCCGTTTACGCACTGCCTTTTTTTAAGGGGGGAAAATCATCGAATGACTGTTCCCGCCTGGGTGAGGCAGAAGGGAGTGTCAGACTCTTACTGACTAAAACCACCCCGTTCCTTCTCCTGCACTTCGAGCCGGAGCCCCGATAACCCGTTAGGTTCTCCGCGACACTGCCTTAGGACTAGAAAAATCATGACATTACATGAAAAACAATATTATGTAAACTGACGTATGTTTAGCAAAATATTATAATTATGATAATAATATAGTGATGTTTGTTTGAAAGTGAGTTTATCTAAGTTCTACGACGCATGACCGAGAGGCCGTTGATCTCGCGACTTCGCTGAACTCGGACCGATCTAGTTTGTTTTTGTATAAATTACGAAAATTGCTTGCTTTGCAAAAGATCGTGGTATGAGTAGGAGCTCTGTATTCTTCTGTCACTAAGAAGTAATATTTTTGTTTCTATGTGCATGTGCAAACAGTACAACTATTTAGTATGCAAGTAAGAAAATAATGATTGTTTCAGTATAGAGACAGTAACCATTGGTTGGCTACTAAACCGAACAATGTTTACAGAAAATATGGCTTGGATAAAAACTATATAATTCAGTATAACAATATCTGTGTTGTACTGAATCAAACTTTATTTTTTTACTTGCAAACTAAATCGGATAACTTAACGGGTTGCCAAGGCCGGCTCGAAGTGCAGTAGGAACGGGGTGGTTTTTAATCAGTAAGAGTCTGACGCTCCGTCCCGCCTCACTGAAGCGGGAAAAGTCATTCGATGATTTACCCCCTTAAAAAATGCATCGTTAATGGCATAGCAACGTAAGCAGTTAAACTAACATATTACATACATTATACAGTAGCATTAAGTGCCGTAATGTGCACCTCTGTCTACCTCTTCGGGGATAAAAGGCGTGATATTATGTTATACAGTTAAAATAACTCGCAATATTTTCACTTTTTCTCAACGAAAGTGCGTCCGTAATTTGATCAGCTTAAAAAGCAGCAGACGGCTTAATTTCAAGTATAAATTCTAATGAGATTATCATTAATTTACATTATATTACTAACTGAAGAAAAGTGCATATCGCGGAATATGAATGTGATAGTTAAAGATACATATGGCTTTGTCAAAATCTAAAGATACATAATATGGTTTTGTCAAATTTGTAAAAATCATACAATTTAGTATAACAATAGTTACTGACTCTGTTCATAATCAATATATATTTTCTTACCTGTGCTTTTAGCCAAACGCCACTTTAGCGCTTATCTACAGAGAGAGTAGAAAACAAAATGTATGAGGATGTCACTGACAAGTGTCAAAATTTACGTCAATCCCATATAATTTGGTTTTCTATTCTACATGTAGACAAGCGCTAAGTGGCATTTGGCTACAGCTGCAGTATACTATAAAACTTGCCTTGCAGGAATCATAATTAGAACTTTAGAAGTGAATAACTAACTAACTAAAATAAGACGTATTTTCAATATAATATAACGTGTTTTGCCATAATTAAAATATGCCCTATAAATCTAATTTCTATACACATAATTCAATAACCAATATTTGTTTACATTTATAGCGCTGACTACATTTTATTGAGGTTTTACGTATCTCTGACGATATCGTGACGTCAAACGGAAGCGGTGTTTAGTAGCTACAAACCTGTACATACATATGTTTACCTAAATATTAAGGTACTTATGGTTTTCTTGTAAATATGAATAAAGTGTTGATCGTATTGTCGTCAGGTCAGGGTAAGAACCTCTGGAATCGGGATCCAATTCGATAATGAAAACTTACTTGAGATGTACTGAACTATTTTGAGTAGAAGTTTATGTGATTAAACGATTTTATTTAGCTTGATTTGTATTTGTTTGTTTGTTTAGGTAAAATTTTGTAATTGGAATTTCTCGCCCTTCCTGACCATAGATCAGTGTGATTTTTTGGTACACACTCTTATTCTTGATGATACACAAAACATGTCTTACTTATTATGCTAATTAGAATTAGGCTTGTTGAAAAAGAAAGTCGATATTGCGACACAAAACAATTAAATAATCTCAATAATATACGCAACAATTACGTTTGTTTAAAATTGATACCAGTCAATGACCAATAACAATTAGAAATTAAACAATTTAACCAACTTACTTCTGCGAAACAAAGAGGTATTAATTCTTTTTGGACTAGCTGACTGGTATTGGCTTTTTATAAAGCATTCATTGAATCTATTAGTAGATTTCCAGCTCGTCTGTATTAAAAATTAAAGTTACCGATGTAAACACCACCAAAAACCATTTTGAATAATCGTTGCATACTCCAACAAGAGACAGATGTGTCGATATGTATGTGTTTTGAATTTATCGTAAACAGACAGACACAGAAGAGGGAAGTTGATTGTTATAATGTTAAGATTTATACACATAATGGACACTGGTTACCTGAAAGGAAGCTTGCAACATCACCAAGCTGACATCCATCCATATGCCATATTCATTGTTCCAATTTTACAGGTAACTTTATATAAAAAATCTACTACTATTGTAAACTTATCCCTATCAAGAAGCCCGAGTCGCTTGCTGCGATAGAACTGTCAAAAGTTCATATAAAAATAGTATCAAGGGTTCAACCAGGAGGTTTTTCCCAGTGTATACTAGGGCTAAGGGAGAGACCGTGGCTTTATTGTGTTTTTAAAACGCTTTTGTGTCTTTGCGTCTCGTTAGAGCGCATTGTACTGGCCTACAACAGTGCTCAACCACTGCTTGTAGTGTATCTGACGTGTTTGAGAGGCGCACAGGCGGCTGGGCAATTGTTTTTCAACAAAACATTGCTCCCGGTAGCCCAGAGCAAAACCCCCTATAATCCTTCCAAAGTTCCTACCTAATCAGTATTTGAATCTCCCATCACAATTAATTTATTATTTTAATTATAATTTTATTTTATCAAAATCCTTGTGTAAGTTTTTCGTATATTTGTTTTGTTGTAAAACTTCACTTCAAACTTTATATTCCTAGTGATTTTGACATTCCAAAGCACACTCGAAACCCACCTCCAAATCTCCAAATATCTCATCCTTAGACCACGTCCAGGTGACTATAGTCACCCAACTACCTTTCCCCGACACCCTGCATCATCGCTCGGCGGCCTATACAGGCTGCAGTGCGTTGACAGCGCTCTCTCTTTGTCAGGTACTAGGGCCCTCGCGCCCGGTCGCTATACCGTCGGGGAACGAGAGCTGTGGGCGGATCGGTGCGGGCATATACAACGACAAGAAGCCGCTGATTGCTCCTGCACTCGCTTAGGTAAGATTTTAAATGTGTTGAATACTTTTTTAGAACGTTCTGGACTGATTTGGAGATGAATAAGTGTAGATGGTTGTTTTTGCGCTTAGTAGGTGGCGCTATTGTAGCTTTAGATCTTGTCTGTCTAGTAATGTTACAAAAATAGTGACATGATAATTTTCTATAACCGTTAGATTAGACGAACGACACTGAACGCTACGCTAACGCCACCTAGGAATGGCAAAAATTACAGCCCAATCTTATTTCACATTTATCCTAAAATCTTGGTTTAGTCTCCTATCGAACTTCTTAATTTCTTTAAAATTTAATTTAATTGCACATTGTCAACGTGAAGTCAATTATATTATCTAGTAAATTCTGTGAAAGATTTCATTTTATATAACGGAGCATCGTCCGATTCTGTAATCCATTGCAATAAATACGTGCGAGTGACAGAGCAAAATGCTGAATAATGCCCATTTGACAATCTCGTCCATAAATAAAATAAAACACAATTGTTTATGATATGCAGATTGTTTATCAAAGTGATTCAGGTAAATATTGTCTGAAAGTATCTTTTGAAAATAACTAAATATTCAGTGGTTTTTTCAAATATATTTGATTAATTTGCTATTAGTTAGATTCACACATTTCGATAGTTAATTATCCGTCACATTAGTTAATAGGAACTTAGTAAGACACTGAATGTGGCCATATTAAAAGTAGATTAATATAACCTTCTATTACCACCAAGTTGCGAGTCAAAATAGTGGCATCTGTTATCTAAATCTTTTCGCACAACACGTCATGTCAATGATCGTATTAATAATCATAAGTTCGTAAGCCTACTGCGCTTCATGTAGGAACTTGTTTGAACTCTTTATGCACTTGTCTAACGCACTTTTTATCATAAAACGCAGTGTCAAGTGTGCGAAAGTATTTAGTAGTAAATTCGTGACTATACTAGAGCGCTTTGGACTTGCATTCCTCGTCAGTACTTAGGCTAAAGTTTATGTGAAATCGTTTATAAACAAACCACAAAGGTAAGACTACATCTAGTCACATTAAAGAGCAATTTTCCATGCATCCTATCCTTTTGTTATCAGAACTGTCAGCAAATTGAGCGACAGGGCGAGAGTGTGATTGTACGCGAAAGAATTAACGAGTCGTAATTCTAACCTTATGATTTGTTTACAAACATATCACAATCTACCTAATTGCCATTAAGGCGTTTGACTTGCATTCTATGTACTATCTTGCAGTATTTTAATCCTTCTCTCATCATCCAGGTGCCGATTCACCCTCAACTCGCGCCAATAATCCCGATAATGTTGAGATCGGGCGCGGGGCACCCGGATGCTGGCCATTCCGCAGCATCTACGTCGCGGCAGCGCTCTCCTGAGGAGGAGGCGCAGCATATGTACGCGACGCTAAACGAGTATCTACTGCTCGAACAAAAGTCTCAACCCAAACTTTGCTTGCCGGCTGAATCTGAGGTAAGGGAAACGAACAGACCAGACCTACAGCTTAGTAAAAAAGAGTTTGACGCGGTGACAGCTACAACTAGAATTGACTTGGACTGAATCACCCACTTCGGACTATATCCCACGAATAAACAATCATCGGAACATAGTACCTCATCTTGTTAAACTCGATAAAAATAATAAATATCAAAACCGATTGAGTCGTAGTGTACCAGGTTGCCACAGGTACGATACTTGCGACCTTTATTCCAAACTCTTTTTTGCCAAGCTGCCAACTCATGCTTTTGTCCCATCGTCATGTCAACCATAAAATGTCCAGTGCTGTATATTGATATTCGATCTCCCCGAGATCTCATCAGTTATATTGTGTGGTACATGTTATAAAAATAATGCAGACTTCATAACTTTTATTGAATTCCACTTCAGCCATTTTGTTACTGGTAACTGGAGAGTCTACAAGTCCTACCATACAATGCCAAAACTCCCATAATTATAAATCAGCAATTAATTTCTGAGGATGAGGATTTCTACGAGCAGATGTCTCGATTTCCTCTACCTGTTTATTTGTCTCCATCAAACACCACTAACAAAAAGACTTACATCATCACCAACAAGTCATAACAGTGCAGCAGGGCTATGGGGCGTCACTATATAAAAACATCCTAGTGATATTGTAGATGCGAAAGTATTTTTTTTATGGGATAAGCTGGTAAACGAGCAAATCGGTGTCGCTTATGAACAACCGAAATACTAGAGGCGTTACAAGGCGCTACCGGCCTTTTGGAGACTAGGAATTTGAGGATTGTTAGGGATTCAGGGATTGGGGAGGGAGAGTAATTGGCCATGTTTGTTGGTTACTACTTTACGCAAAATGGCCGAAGGGATCCAGATGAAATTTGGAATATTGTTAGATTATGGTCTGGAATAACACTTAGACTACTTATTATGCCACGGGAACGCGGGCGAAACCGCTCGCAGAAACTAGTTTACCATAATCTCCACGCCTGGCTGAGTGAAACACACATACTCACAAAGTATATTATTAGCTACTTGATACATATAAAACACCATAAAAACTGATCGAGTCGTAGTCAGCGAGATCACGTTACGTCCACGTGTCGCAAGCTACCGATACTCTGCTGTTGGTCAAGGCCGTGGGGTTCGAAACAGGCGAGTGTTTTTATCTTAACTCACTCGCGGAACTACATATTAAAGCGAGAATCCTTGTTGTTTAATGTGTATATGATTTAAAACGTTGTAATTGAAAAGTTATTTAATAATCAAATGTTTGATAAAAAGATGTGAAAAATGATGAAGTTTTATTAGTATTTTGGCTGTAGAATACATATAATTTGTTGAATATCGTAAATTTAATCATAAATTTGTACTTTAATTACGGTTCTTACGTTCTTTCTGACGACTCCATAATAAATACTGAAAAATCTCGTTTAATTACATGACTGGCTAAAAACTGTTTGAGTGTTTATCTATACAAAAACATAATATAAAGATGAACAGTCCAAATCTGATAATACTTATCTATAATTACTGCCTAAAACCAGTTCTTAGGTTAACCTTAAATATGTATCTAGCTTAAGCGTTCCCGTGGCACAACAAGGCTCATAATCTACCCCTGTTCCAAATTTCATACCGATCCCTTCAGCCGTGAAGGAATAACAAACACACACATACGAACTTTCGTTTGTATAATATTAGTAGGATACTTTTTTGAACAGACTATACATATAAGTATAGACATATCAAGTTATATTTTTACAAGTCCAAACAAAAATAAATATTGCAACATGACTTTTGTACTGGAATGTTATGAAACCTTCAAAACATGTTAATGCGTCAAAACATTGCTTGAATATTATACACTGCAATACAGGGTGTTTCTACAATTCTATGATTACGTGACCACACTGTTTTAAATAATCAACCAATATCAAAGAAAAGTCGAACCAAATAAATGTTGTAATTATTAAAAGTCAAAAAAATAACGAATGTCACGGAAACTACAAAAAATCGTAGAACATACATGTGGGTTAAATCGATAGGTATGGAACCCTGCTACCAGCTAGTGGCGGCTTGACACCATACAAGAAACAACCTTGTATATGTGTTTGTGATTATGTCACGAACGAATAACATAGCACAGAATTCACTGTCGTATTTCGACGGCAGTAAAATTCATTTCTCATCATCTTCAAAGTGGCCACTGCTGACCAAAGGCCTTCTTCTTCTCACACGGAGAAGGTTTGAGCATCAATCACCACGCTTGCTCAATGCGGGTTGCCAATTTCAAACTTATAACAGTCCAGGTTTCCTCGCTATGTTTTCCTCCGCCATTTGTCAGTGGTGTCTAAATAATCATAGAAAATACATATAAGTCGGAAAATGTCACATTGGTACCTGCTTGCCGTTGGTAGGTTCAATAACCCGCACCCTTATTTATCTTGCTCATAGGTTGGTAACAGTTCTCTGATGAACTAAGGGTTTTCTCTACGAAAAGTCCTACAACCTTTATCAGATTATCATTTCATATTTTATATGTCATTGTTGCAGAATGGCGAAGTTACAACGGGTGCGCGAGACGGCGCGGCCCACGTACTGAGATGTCTCAAAATATGGTACGATCTGCCTGCAGACGTGCTCATCAGTGCCATCAACTTGTTTGACAGGTATACTATCTCATAACATTATTATCTAGCGTTGGTTTGCGCTCAAATTATAGCTAATAACAACATAACATAACATAACATCACGCCTTTTATCCCCGAAGGCAGATGTGCACATTACGGCACTTAATGCCACTGTACAATGTAACACCCACTTTTCACTATTTATGTTATAAGTCCCATGTAATTGGGGGTGAGCCATATTGTATATTGCCATATACCGGGCCCAGACTCCGTGCTACTATTGAGAAAAAAAAACCCAGTACCTAAATATTTCGCCCGACCAGGGAATCGATCGATCAGTCGCCCTTGTGACCACTCAGCCAACGAGGCAGTCAGTACTTGATTAATCATTCGTTAATTTTTAATAGACTTACTAAAAATCCCATCATTAAGTTGTAATTTAACCTTTAGTTCCTAATTTATCAGTTCTATTTTGTAAAATTTGAATTAATAAATTATTATGTTTTCGGCTTACTCAAGTAATAATTTGACGAGGAACTCGACTAGTTTTAAGCCATTACGTGAGTAAGCCGAAAACATAATAATTTATTTAGTATGTCTCACGAAAGTTACAATACAAATTTGAATTAATACATCTCTCTATGACCAGGTTCTTGACAAAGATGAAGGTACGTCCGTGCCACGTGCCGTGCATCACGGTCTCGTGCATGAACATCGCGCTCGAACAGTACGCCGCCGACACTGACACCAAACGCAGCATCTCTGTCGAGGAACTAGGTGAGCACATGCAATATAAAATGTAGCTGTTTTTTTGGGTAAATAATTAGTTTTCACCATGTAGTGATTTTCCTACACTTATCACTGAAATTAATAACCAATCTCCAAGCCAATCCAAAGTCGGTTGATTTTTGTCTGAAAATCAGATTTTTTTTATTGGATAAACAAGCAAATATGATGTTCTTCAAGAGGGCAGTGAATAGGTTTCTTAAGGGCCGGCAAGACGCATGTAATGCCCTAAGTTTTGCAGGCGTACATAGGCCATGGTAACCGCTTATCGTCAGGTGGGCCGTGTGCTTTAATGCCACCGTCGCGGTATAAAAAAAAGCAAACGGATCACCTGATGGTAAGCAATCATCGTCGCCGAAGGACATCTGGAACACTAGAGGCGTTACAAATGTGTTACCGGCCTTTTAGGGATTATGAATTTGAGGATTGTCGGGATTTTGGAGATTGAGGAGTGGGGAAGGGTCATCCAGTTATGTGCAACAATTTATTAATGTTTTAGTGTTCTCTTAAGTAGTTAAATAAAAATGGCTGGGCCTTATTTAACTTCAAAATCTTATCTGTCTGTCCAGTTATTCTAATTGGTGTTTTTTTTTCAACCGTTGTGACTGTAAATAAATAAATAAAAATAAGTAAATAAATAAAATAATCCCCTAAAAGTGCTATTTCATAATATTAATTGTCTCATCTCTTTTTCTTCCAGTATCAATATCGCAATCAGCTTGCACGGCAGGTGACGTGCTTCGTATGTCGCGCGTCATCGTGGACAAGTTGAGCTTGGTGGCAGGCTGCCGGGTGGTGACGGCGCTGGACTGGCTGAGGTTACTTCGATCTATGTTGCTGCTGCAGGCCGACCACTGCGGGGTCAGCTTGCCTGCTGGGTGCCAGGTAAATACAACTGTTTGTATAAATTGTTTGTTATACTATCTCATAACATTACTATCTAGCGTAGGTTTAAGCTCAAATCGTAGCTAATAACAACATTACATAATATCACGTCTTTTATCCCTGAAGGGATAGGCAGAAGTGCACATTACGGCACTTGATGCCACTGAACAATGTAACACCTACATTTCACTATTTATGTTATGAGTCCCATGTAATAGGGGTGAGCCATATACTGGACCCATTTCCAGACTCAGTGCTACTGTTGAGAATTAAAAAAAACCAGTAAATAAATATTTCGCCCGACCAGTTACTGTTACACATGCTAATTTCCATCCTTCAACCAGGCGGGGTTTCTGCCCAACAGCTATTCGTTGGGATTTTCTATCCTTGTCATACGAATGTAAACTTCACTTGCGTGATGTAGGATTTTGAGACGTCATTCGTTTATTTGTTTTCATCGATGGTCTTTGTGCGTGAAAGCTTACTTCAATTCAGCACTTAGTTAGCATGTGTGTCGAATTGTTGCCTAAAATTAAGATGCTCATTTCAGGTAGGCTTGCGAATCGATAGGAGTTCAATTTTTAAACATGTTCAACAGGACGCGTTTTATTTTATTTATTATTTTACAGTGAGTGTAACAGTAGCTTAGTTTAGACAAAAATATCTCCTAAAAAGCTAACTACAGGTCCTCATATCTATAGTTATGTCCATGGAGATAGATCAGTTTTCAAAGACAACAATCCTTCTGGATTATTTCAGATTGGACATAGACTTTGGAAGACAAAGCATTTTTAAAAATGTAATAGCAATGATGTAACCTGGCTCAAGGATTAATTACCATCAGTGTGATTTCTTTAAAATATTTATATGGAAAAAATAGCAATTCAAACCTAACATCAGAGCTTTATATCCCCCGATAAATTTGGTAATCTTTCGCCTCACTAAGGGCGGGAGGAGTAATTAGAAAATGCCTCCTTAAAAAAAAGTGAAAGATATAGTCTTCGCCAGTTGAGTTATGAGTTCTTGTGGGTCTGCGGACGAAGAGCATGGGCAGCTCGACCAGGGTGCTTACTCTTGAAAATAATCTCAATGTCAATGCAATTTCAATCCAATAAAATCTCAATAATTATTCAATGTCAAAACTATACAACGCCTGTTTTAGCTGTTAAAATAGCATTTAGAGTATAGAATATAAAACTAAACTTAATGCCATTTAGTTAATTCAATATCCACGCAATACGGATGCAATGGGCGCTAGTGTTGCAACTCAAGAGTACGAAATTTCACAATACCAATGTCGATCGATCGGAATTGGATTCAAGAGTAAGCCTCCAGAACCAGACCCGAACGTTCCGCCCGCGACTCAAAGAGCCATTAAACCACCATGGATGGGGGGCCCAATAGGGCTGATGCCGATACGGAGCCGCGGAGGACATAACGGGTTGCCGGGGCTTCGGCTCAAAGTGCAGGAGTAGGAACGAGATGGTTTTTAGTCAGTAAGAGTCTGACACTCCCTCCCGCCTCAACCAGGCGGGAGCAGTCATTAGATGATTTTCCCCCTTAAAAAAAACCTCAAGGCGGGGGAACTCATTGGATGATTTTCCCCCCTCAAAAAAGCCTATAATTAGTGTTATTTTATAATTAGCATAGTCTTATTTCACTAAAGTATAAACTAATTTGTTTTTTCATAAACATAGTACTTAAAAATGAATATGTTTGTTTGTCTCCAGGAGGAGGAGTTAGTTCAGATGCTGGAAATCGTGTCTTGCGACGCGGCCTGCGTCAACACTCGTACCAGTGAACTAGCGCTAGTGTTGCTGTACTACAAACTAGGTGAGCTGTCTATGTAACCATTAGTAGTGTGGGGGGAGGGGAGTCGACATGTATGTTCCAACCGACAATTGAGTGCACAGTGCACAGTAGGTGCGGTGGCTGGGCAAACGGCTGCCGTGCTACGTGTAACGTTGTGTGATCCAAAAATTGTTGTTCCGGGTCTGTGTGTCATGTGTATGTGAACTTGTATGTTTGTAAACGCACCCACGACACAGGAGATACTCCTAGATTAAGGGACACATTTACAATGATCAGCAACCAACACTGATAAATTTTAGCTGCGATTTCTGCTGCGATCAGCAGTTGACTGTTGGTCCGGACCTCAGGTTAGATTCCTAGATCACACAGTATTGTAATCTGTGTGTTCTTTGTTAAAAGCAGTTGGCATAACATTATGTTAGTAAAATGAACTTTTATTTACTAACATAGTGTTAGACTGACGCGCCGGACTTCAGTGTTCCAGTGTTTTCATTATTGTATCTGCTGTAGATCCTGGCTAACAGGAGTTGCAGAGGTTTCTGAAAATGGTGGCGGACTTGTCCCTTTAAAAAAAGTTGCGACTGACATGTAGATATTAACCACAATTGGGTACTTTCCTTAATCCAAAATAAATTATTTCGACTATTCAATACAATAAAATATGCAAAAAATAATCACACTTTCTTTAAGACTTTGACTGCCAATAAAAAACTGTTGACGGTAAATCCTCCGCTAACACCGGTCACCGGTGACCCCCATAGCGTTTAACGTGTTAATTGATTTTAAGACCATCTTAATTTTAGTATTTTTCCAGCAAATTTTTACGAAATACTTGACGTTACAATACACAATCTTGTACAAAATTCATAGAAAACTCTCGTTTTTGACAGTTCGAGTAAGAAGTATTGAATTTGACTAGTTGGCAAGTACCCAATGTGTCCATTACTAAACATATAACTAAATATTATATTGATTTGTGTACAGAGCAACAGTTGGCGGAGTGGTCGTCGAACGAAGAGAACTTGATCCCGGAGGAGCACGCGTACTATCTCTTCGACTTCGCCAGACAAGTACAGCTGCATTGTCAAGTTAGTATATTGTTATACTGTAATATTAGTATAGTAGTTTCATTAAATTTATTTTAATGTCCGTCTGCTAGATTAGTTTAAAACATTAGACAATTTTTTAAATTATTATATTTTCGGCTTACTCACGTAATAATTTGACGAGGAACTCGACTAGTTTCAAGCCATGCTAGAGGCTCATATTACTTTACTGTCGCGCTGCTTCTGTAGTAGTATGTCTTATTTAGTTTGTCTCACGAAAGTTACAATACAATTATTTTTTAGTTTTTCTCAAAATGAAATACTTTCCATGATATATTAATTTGAAATATTGTTTGACTTCACAACTGGCTACATCCTCGCACTCCTAAACTTAACGACATTTTATCTAAGTATTTAACTTTATACGAGAAAATAAAAAATATATGACTAATATGTTTTCATTATCTAACTGATGAACTTATAAGATTTTTAATATTCATACCCTGGCAACTACCCTATTAAGTATAATAAGGTAGTTGCCGAACTACTAATGCCTTAGTACGAAACAAGACCGCGTTCTTTCCTCTCTCTTTTCATAATTTCTACTTATCTATGTCATTAAAGATTTATTTGTCTATCAGAATTAACTATTGTCTATTTACTATCTAGCTAGACTTAAATTGGTCCTAACACTGAAGTATCTTGTTTTGCGGAGTGTCTGTGGGCGGCGCAGATCACTTGCCATCAGGAGATCTGTGTATCCGACAAGTACTAATATATAAATGTCCCCACAGATGAACGAGGCGTCCCTGTGCGCGGCGCGCGCCCGCGTCCGCCACGTGGTGTCGCGCTACGAGCGCTGCGAGGCGCGCCGCGACCGACAGCGACTCGTGTGGAGACTGTCCGAGAGGACGCTCAAGGTAATAATCACTATAAGATACTATTATATCAGTATAGCCTATAAATGCCCACTACTGACCAATGGCCTTTTCTCATACGGAGAAAGTTTGAGCATTAACGCATTCACTGCCCAGTGGATTTTCTCCAGTGCCCGAATTATAAGACATCCTACAGTGCCCCGCACGCACTATTGCGTTCAATGTTTGCCCTTTTCGTGTGCCGGAAACTCATATACGCGTTCTTACGGCTCCCACCGTGTGCCCGAAACTCATATATGCGTCCGTTCGACTCTCGGCGAGTGCCCGTGACGCGTCTGTGCGTTTGTTATATACTTACGAAAATACGATAGAATATTATGTATCTGTAGATAAAAGTTAGGGTCATGACACACTGTAATGGAATTTATAATCCATAAGATTATTTATTTTATGTAGTGAAATTGAAAAATTTATCTAAATATAAACTAAGGATGAACGTAATAATTCTATAATTGGTAAGTAGGTTTATATTTAGAACATTGTTGTATTTTAACCGACTTAAAAAAAAATAGGTTCTCAGTTTGACCTGTGTGTTTGTTTGTACGCGATTATCTCGCGATTGGTTGAACCGATTTTGATGCGGTTTTCAGAAAAACTTCTGTTACATTTAGGGGATGGGTTTAGTATACTAATTAACCTTTTTCAAAAACAGGAGGTTGATGTTGGATTTTTAAACGTATGTCACGACGCGATGCCAGTATATATAAATTATAGTCTTTCACCATAGATATTTAGTAAGGTACTTATTATCTCGTATAGGTTTATCCTAAAACATTTCGATAGTTGGCTATAGCGCCTGGTGGATATGGTATTTAAAATCTTCAAAGGCACCGCCGTGCATTGTATTGCCGTTATCAGCAAACTAATGTCATTCTATTGTGCGTATGTAGATAAGAGTCATATGAAATATTAGGTTTCTTGGAAAAACAATTAGGTATCTAGGTAGATTTTGGCTTTAGCTCTCGTGGTATTTAAAATCTTCTAAGGCACCGCCGTGCATTGTATTGCCGTTATCAGCAAACTAATGTGATTCTATTGTGCGTATGTATGTGTTATGTGAAATTTTAGGTTTCTTGGAAAAAAAAAGAGATGATCGAGATAACATTGAAAAAAAATACCACCAAAGGTGATCGTAGTCTTACGATATTTGTGGATATTTCTTTTTTCAATTGTTCTAAGTATATTTATATTTCGAAACGGCTGAACAAAATTATTGATTATTGCATTGGTAGTAGTAGAATAAGTTTTTTTTATAATTCGTACAAAGTGTGTAATGACCTTTATCAAAGAAATCAGATAAGGAAGTACATATGTGTAAATATGGGTTTCGAAACAATAGACCCTCGGACGCGTCGACGGGCAGCAGGTAAAAAAAGGGTCAAATGAATAGAACGCATATTTGAGTCCCGGGCACATAGCGTCGTGTCACAAAACGCACAGACGCGTCATGGGCACTGAATGCGTTAAGTAATCACCGTACTAGCTCAATGCGGGTTGCCGATGTCAAACTTATTATTGTAAATTGTAAGTCCAGGTTTCCTCACAATGGTTTCCTTCACCGTTTGTCAGTGGTGTCTAAATAATCTTAGAAAGTACATATAACTCGGTAAAAGTCACATTGGTACTTGCCGTTGGTAGGATTCGAAACCTCGCACACATGCATGAGAAGCGAGTGTCTTAACCTCCGGGCCACCATGACATTTTAAGCTCTGCATTATTGATATTAGATAGTTTTTATAACATAAAGAAAACGTCGATATTCTTCTTTCGTCTACAATATCTCGATTAATAAACTTATTGTTTTGTTTGTACGCAGGTACTTCGTCCGACGGATCGTTTGACGTCCCTCTTGCCGACCATAGAAGAGCAACACTTCGCAGTCGACGCCACGCCCACCAGGACCAGGTAACATATACATACATTTTGATAATATTACCATTATTGTACAATTTATTATCTGTATCACTTTTTAGTTGTAAATGAAAGCTGGTTTTCTGATATACTAAATAAATATTTATTAATTTTAAACTCTTTACATACTTTTTATATTTATTTATTCAAATGTCACATCTTTATTGTAATAGAAATGTAGGAATATTATATTTCCTAACTTTTTGAAATGTTAAAAAAACAACGTAATTATGTACAGACGAATTGAGAGCCTCCTACGATTTTGGGAAGTTGGTTAAAAACGTTGAGTGTCTATGAATTTTCGTCCCGGCTTCGCACGGGTACAATATGCATGTATTATACATATAAACCTTCCTTAAGAATCACTCTATCTTTTATGAAAACCCGCATCAAAATCCGTTGCGTAGTTTTAAAGATCGCATACAGAGGGACAGACAGTGGGAGCGATAGCGATAGCGACTTTGTTTTATACTATGTAGGTAGTGATTAGCTAGAAAAAATACTAAAACTCAACAAACCGAAATCAGTTACTGAGACTGTCTATAACTAAATAATTTTAACACACTGGTAGATTTATGGGCAAAAACAATATAGTTTTAATTGAATAAACAAAATGTACTAATAACTTTTCTCTTCTTCAGATCGGGCAGTGTCAGCAGCGAAAACGAAGAAGAGACCTCAGATTGGCCTCGCAGTCCGGTACTACCAGTGTACTGCGACAACTAAACCATCCACGCGACCCGGCACCCACGGTACTTATAGTACCACTCGGCCAACAGACAGCCCGGTATTTAACACTACTTAACACTATATAGTGACACTCGAGATAAAAAGTACCCAGTGACTTAGGAGTGTTGTGTGGTACTTTTAGTGTCGCACGTCTCCTCAACAGTGACAGTTTTAGTCGAAGATTACTATAAGAAGTTGTATAATTTCTGATGGAATGCAAAAAGAAGAATTGAGTTAGTATCCAGTGGCTTATGGAGTGTTGTGTGGTACTTTCTAGTGTCATATGGCTCCTCAACAGTCTTATAGAGGCATATGACTCAACAATCGTCGAAGAATTCTATGAAGAACATAACATTATTACTGCTGGAATGTGTGGCATACAACTCTACAAAGTTTGAATACATCGAATTTATAACAGGTGTTAAGCAATGGTACTTTAAGTGTCATAATAATTCTCAGTGCTAACTGAAACTTAGTACTAGGACTTAAACGGTACTACTTGGTGTCACGAAAACAACGCTTTTTCTCGAGTGGGTACTAGAATAAGATCAAATATGTGTAATAAAGAGATGATGACAGGGTATTAGAAAACATCTATTCAGTCCGTCAGTTGGATAATGAAAAATAATATTAGATACGTATTCAAAAAGCTACTTAAATGAAACCCGTATATTTATTTACAATCAATATGAAAGTTAACAATACGTGTCTAATTTATCTTTTATTAAATCTAATATTCGGACATAGGACAGTTGTCATCTATTTAGTAGTGTCAAGTGGTACTTTTGTTGTCATTTATAGTTCGAGCGGTACTTTTTAGTGCTAAATTAAACCATGATGTACCTGGCAGCTCTAATTTTTAATTAAAAAAAATAGGATCTTTTAGAATTAAAAAGATATCAATTTTAAAACGATTCCGAGCATTTTTTCTATGTTATATTTATTTGTTTTTGTTTTCTAATGCATGAATACTTCTAACCGAGATTTGGTTGAAAAAAAATGTATTTAATTTATTATTTGTTTTGACATTATTATTCTATAATAATATTATGTAATAATAAATCTCTTAACTCGAATTCTGAAAGGTCTTATATAGGTAGTTTTTATGAAAGATCAACTCTGTGAGGACAGGGGGCTTACTCTTGAATCCAATTCCGATCGATCGACATTGGTATTGTGAAATTTCGTACTCTCGAGTTGCAACACTAGCGCCCATTGCATTCGTATTGCGTGGATATTGAATGAACTAAACGGTATTGAGTTTGGCTTTATATTCCGTACTCTGGATGCTATTTTAACAGCTACGATAGGAGTTATAGTGTTGACATTGAATAATTATTGAGATTTTATTGGATTTGCATTGACATTGAGAGATTGGTTTCAAGAGTAAGGCGACTGGTTGGAGTGTAAAATTTATATAGGTTGCATTTATTAGCTACCCGTGCAGTTTCCACCGCTGCTCGGCTGCCGTGATGTTTTATAGCCTATAGTCGTCCTCCATATAGTCCGTTTATGGAGGACGACTGTAGGCTATACTCTACACAAAAAGCATTATTCAACTTGAAATAGAAGTTCTGGAGATTATCTCGTTCATAAGATATCGTTTTCTATTTACTTCACATGCTGCTTAGAATTTTTATATTACAGTAATTATACTATTTTACACTCTGACCTTCACCGAGTTGATCATATAGTTTAGACAATAGTTTAGACTAGAAATGAACGGAAAACACATATCTTTTAAGGCCGGGTCATGTGGTTTTTAAATGGAGACAGGGACTTTATATGGTCTAAGATAATAACTGGTAAAGGTTCTGCGACAGTCGTTGTACGCAGGTCGCTGCCGACCTCGCGATGTGTAGTCGACGGGGGACTGGGGGAGGCAGGGGACAGAGAGCATTTAATTATGTAAGACATGTCTGTCTACCCCTCTCTGGGTTGTGTAAAATCTTTAAAGTTGTTATTTTGGTCTCATTGGCACCCTGTTTCTTGAAAATTTTCCATTTTTCTTACCTTATTTATTAAGTTTTCGATATTATAAACGAAAAGAAATCAGACATTTTTTCTGTATTATTATTACTTACCTTAATTTATATTTTTATCGAAAATGTCTCTGATAAGCCGAGGTTCTCAAGCAATTTTGAGTTTTTTTTTTGTTTTTGCAAAGGAAGTAATGTCTCTTTTAGTGTAGGGCGCGATCCTAATTTTGAGAATGTCAAAATGTACGTGATCCGTAATGTGTATGTATGTTTGTGTGTTCGAGCGTTTGTAGTGCGTTTGTATGGCGACTAGATGGCAGCACACGACTTTGAAACTCAAAATCGTGTGGAAAAGATGTTGAGGTTGCGATAAAGTTGCGCAACAGTCGGCCGACTTTTCAATTGTATCGCAATTCTCTATTATCATGACCAATTTTTCTATTACAACTGTCGCTTAGTCGCCACACAATCGCCCCACCATCGCTCAGTCGTATGTTTCGAATTAATTATAAGTTTAACTTCCGAAGAAAAGGACAAAAAAATCAAAAAATGGTGCAATTTTTAAAAATTAAAAAAAAATATTAATTCAGTTCAAAACGTTTTTAAAATGGTAAATAAATTAATGTTTGGAGTATTAATCGATGACAAAAGTTGTTTTTTTTTTTATTATTTTCTTATTTTACAATTTTGAAAAAGTATTGCATTGCGATGGAGGGTGCTTCTTTTGCGTTTTGGGGTAACCAGTCTTCGTAACAGTCAATTTTGAACTCTACGTTCATAGATTTGAATTCCAAAATGTTTGAGCTTTACGATGTTTTCTTTATAAATGTTAATTAGTTGTTAATTGAAAGAAATGCTCTCCATCTACCCAAGGCTTCTCCTTACTGTGATCTTTCTAAGAATGGAAAATCGAAAGTTCAAAAAAATTAAAAATTCCATATTTTTACTAGGTATTAAGTGTTCGGGGGGAAAAATTTGGGCGTGGGAACTGTATAGATGCTGGGTAAATCAAACTATATTAAATTCTCAAATTACTTAATTAGAAAAAGTAATATTTAATATCGAGATAGATTCATTTTAGTAAAAGTTCAAATCTTTGTGAATTTTAAGTAAAAAAATCATGTTTAAATGATAAATTAACTAAAACAAAGATATTATGATACTAAAGTTCGCTCACGAAATTGTTCGAGGTCTCTCAACTGCTTTCAAGTCAAAAGGGAGTTCTTAGTTATAAGCAGCGTTCGTGACGGTCGACGTGTCGCTCTCCCTTGAATGGTTACGTGAGTAAAATGTTTAATTAATATTAAACCAATTTGATGACACATCTGGTGTTCCAGGTGTACTTAGACCAGGACTACCAGCAGCTTTCTTGCTACTGATATTAGTATAAAAATATATTTAAAACTTTACTTAAAGGATTTAAAATTTTTATATAGTTTGATTTGCTAGCATCTGTATTGAAGCCTAAGAAATAATTATAGTATTAACAATTTTATTAGAAATTAAATTTGGCGAGCTTTAAATATGCAAAGGCGGCGGTTTTCTTCGTTGCCATCGGCCGACAGTTGCCCAACTGTCGCGCCACAGTTTCCGACCGAAATTTTTCGCCCCGTTGTTTAATTATAAGAATTTTTGAGTCACACAGACGCGTGAGTGAATGAAAAAAAGATTTTATATGTGAAAAATGAAAAAAAAAATCCACCGATATATTTCTTTTTTAAGTACATCTTATTTAATTTAAGTATTATGTAGTAAAACGTATATATAATGATATGAAATATAATTTATATAATATATTCCTGATTTTTTTTCGTATCTTGACTAATTTTTCAACAAAACACTAAAAAAAATTAAATAGTAGTAATATTGGTTCATATTTTTTTAATTTAGTCTCTTTATTTTCTTCTTTAGTAAATAATCAATCTCTAGTTAAATATCGTAGTGTGTAAATTTATAAATGACAAAAAAATTACAAATTTTTGAAAAAATAGTAAAAAAATTGATCTCAGATTTTGTTTTCGTGCTGGAATGTTTGGTTTATGGTTTCAATAGAAAAAAGTCATTTAGAGTATTGTATGCGTAAAAAAATCTAATGGGATTTCATTTAGTTCGTCAGTAATGAATAATTTACAAAAAATTGGCGCTAAAGGCCCGCAACGCACTTGTTATAGTCCTCTGGGGCCTTACTCTTGAATCCAATTCCGATCGATCGACATTGGTATTGTGAAATTTCGTACTCTTGAGTACACTAGCGCCCATTGCATCCGTATTGCGTGGATATTGAATGATCTAAACGGTATTGAGTTTGTCTTTATATTCCGTACTCTGAATGCTATTTCAACAGCTCAGGTAGCGGTTGTATAGTTTTGACATTGAATAAATATTTAGATTATATTGGATTGACATTGAGATTGGTTTCAAGAGTAAGCACCGTGGTATTGCGGATGTCATCATTTTCTATTGAAAATCCCATATCAACACTTTTTTTTGTGCATTTTGATAACATCAGTGCGTTTTCACCGGTATATTTTGCATGGTGCGACATAAGCTAAGTATCTATTTTTTTTGTATATATACTCACAAAATATAATTCATTTTTCTTTTTAACACATTCAAAAGACAATATATACATTTTTCTTGTGCATACAATTCTTTAAATTGACTCCAACAAGGCTTAAATAGATTTTCGAATTGGTTTCCGTCAGTTTCGACAGGAAAAGCAAAAAAAAAGTTCATTAAAAATAGAGAATATAAAAGCAATGTACATTCAACGCTCTGTGATATAAAAAGGTATGAAGAGACACTTATTAAAATCTTAGACATTGCGATGATTCAAAATGAAAATATTTAGAACATTACTGAAATGGGGCTTCGAGGCAGAGCCGTATTATCCCTAGACAAGTGCCGGGGGCTAGCAGCTGTAGCCAAATGCCATTTAGCGCTTGTCTACATGTAGAATAGAAAACCAAATTATATGGGGTTGACGTAAATTTTGACTCTTGTCAGTGTCATCCCCAT